GCTACTTTTCTTCTCAATTTTTGTGGTGAGCTTTCTGTGGCAACTGACAATATGGAGAGCACCAGGTCAGTCCAGCCCCTCCCCGCTGAAATCAACCACCTCCTGACCTGGAGCAATTCCATGAGCTGTTCTTGCTGTCCAGCCTGTCTCAGCTTGTCTCCTCGCTCTATCATCTTGTTGTACAATTTCTCCCACTTCTTCTTCAGCTCTGACATCTTATCCCGGATAGAATCTGCAGCATAGTGGTCATCCTGAATCAGCTGATTTCCAACCTGGGAAAATACATTGTATTATTCAAACATCACAAAAAGTGGGCAAATTAATGCCAATCCTAACAACTTGGATATTTGTGTATGTTTCTTTCCAATTAATACCATGCAGCATGAAGTTTTCTGCTATACCGCACCTACCATACCGAAAAATTCTGAAGTTAGAACAATTCACATTGCTGTGCCCCACCTGGAGTGACCATTACAGGAAAACCGATGAAGTAATAACTGAATTAGTGTGGCTATAATTCACCTGTGCCCCCTTATACCTTTACTTGAGATTTGCAAATGTAGTGTTAAAAAACAACCAAGATCATAGTTTAAGCAAAGATGTATCTGCGGTGTGACTGGCTTTGTTGGCTACTGTGTTGTTTTACAGGCTCTTACAATCAATAAAGGAAGTCCCTTTGCAAATAAAGTCAAGCCTATCAAACACTGGCCAACTACCCTCACCATGATCAGCTCTGCAAAGTGCTTCTTGTTTGCCATCATTTCCTTCTCAGCAGCCTCATGCCACTTCAGTTTGCGCAAGATATTTGTGGGGTCACGATAGGACTCATCCGATGCAATCTTGTACTTCTCTTCCATCCATATCAGCAGCTCAGCAACATCATGGTTGAACTCCTATAAGGGACAGTTAGAATTAAATGTATTTAACTCTGGATTAGGGATATTAATGTGTATTCATGTACATGGTTAACCGATGAGTCTGGGTTCATTGGTTAACCCACGCTGATACATGCATCCCACGGAGCTGCCCCGCCCACCTTCCACAGAGGCAGCAACACAGGAGACTAGGCGGGTGCTGGTGGTCAGGGGGAGCTAGCTCCAGCCTGCCCCTCTAAGTGTAAACATATAACCACTGAAAATTTCAGGAGTTATACCTTTACAAAGATAACTGTATTTTAACATCCCTACTCTAGATTGTAAACAGACTCAAGGACACCAGTTTGCAGTGGATTCTGAGAACTCCCTCAATAAATATTTGGTCCTTATTTTACCTAAATGTTGGGAAGCCCCATTTCTCTTAGGATAAAAGACAACTTGAATAATCAGCACGCTGCAGCCAGAATGCAATATCTGTTTTCCATCTTTGAACAATATTTTCTCCCTTCCCCTGCTTTCAGTAACCAATGAAGACTCAGATATCAGGAAGAAAATGGATTTATAAAAGAGGCTGACCCAGTATTAGGACCAGATTGCAGCATAGTGGTGGGAAGCCTACATTCCATTACTAACATTCAGTTTCATATGAAAAATACAGCGAGAAGCAATGTAGTAACAATACCTCCCAATTTAATATATCATAGTTAATTAAAATGAGACCAAAACCCCAAATGGTCCAGTTCTGCTCTTCATGGCAATGCATCACTGGAGTACTAATGATTAACACTAGTGTAAAGAAGAGCAGAAACAGGCCCAACAGTTTAGGGAGAAACTTTCATTCCACATCAAGAATCTGAACCAGAGGCATCCTCTGATTGGTTGACTATTAGCTCCTTTGACTATTAGCTGTTCTCCCCAGTTACAATTTACTGTGGGAGCCCCAACTTACAGTGATGTATTAACATATGAGCCAAGGCCCAGAGTGACATTCACTGGGACATTATGGAGTGATCAAGATTCCCAGGTGGTTTTTCGTTAGTTTTCATTTTTGTGTTAATTGAACTTACAGTATATGTCACTATGCCTAGTAGATACTCTCTGATCACTCCAACAGTGTTAAATTAGTTTTTTGTGTGTTTGCCAGTACTCTAGTCAGCCTACATGTGGGTCAACATTTCCTATTTTCCATTCCTAGGTGAAGTGGGCTGTGGTTGGGAATAAGGAGAGTGCTCAATGTTTTTAGCTGAGACTCAAGGCAGCAGAGAGTGTTAACCAACTGCATCTCCGAGCTTCCCTCTGGTCAACTCCAGTGCAATAGCCCTTCACCTGCAGTTGAAGAGATGCCAGCAGCTTGGCTTTCTTCTGTTCATTGCTCTGCCTCAGCTGTTCCCATCGGTTCCAGAACACAATCATTCTCTCCTCGATCCTGTAAAGCAAGGAGGACAAAGAGTTTTAATTCCTCTACCTGGAATGACAATGGGGCAAGGGCTCTGAGCCGTTTGGGTTTCCTTCGTCGTTCTTCATTGCTAGTTCTGATAACTTTTAGCTAGATTTTAATCTAGCCCAGTGTGGCTATTGCTAAGAGCAAAGTGGGTGAAAAGGCACGACTGTGCCAGATTTTCCAAGGTTGAGAGGTTGTGGGGGAGGAAGAATGGCAGCTCCCCTGGCTAGCTAGTGCCTCTCACATGCAGATAGGTGGGAAAGGGATAGATGAGCTGAGGGTGGACAGAACTTGTGATTATTATTAAGAAAACTGGTATTACATTAGCTGCCCAAATGTGCTGTAATGTTCATGTAAGATGATACAGTCCCTGGCAGTAGCATGTCACGGCAGTAACGGTGCCAGAGTATGAGACAGCCAGTGCCAGCAACTTAGAGCATAATCATGGCATCTCAGTTCCCCCCAGCACACTCTTACCTTCATAGTTGTGCTCTCTAAACAGATAGGGTCCAATTATTGTTTACACTAAGGCCCCTTTACACTGCTCTAGCACTGTAAAGTAGCCATGAATTACACTGACTCCCACTTTAAGACCACAGTATAGCGCCAGATTGGTGTAAAAGGGCTAGATGAGAATTAGGCCCACAGCATGATGATTACAACAGTTTTTTCCTTTATGAAGTGCTTTGAAATCAATTGTATTCATACAGTATCTTACTGACACTCTCAAATGCAAGGAGTATACCATTATGTGACAATATTAATGAGCTCTTCAATAAAGAGATCTTAGAACTATAAGAGGGACAATATTGGGTCTTATTGTCATATGTAGTATCAAATGCAAGGAGAAAAACGTAAGTATTGTTGTACCAAAAGAGTGAATTGAAAGTCATTAGGACTTTCAGTTCATAACCGTACCTTTGTCATTAGAGCACAGAGAATGCATATCTTTGCAATATTGGCTCCATTCTCTCCACTTATGCTCTAAGTAAGCAGCATCATGGAAGGAAAGGAGAAAAATGATCTTTTCCCACCCGAATTAGAACACCACACTTGTGGACTGATGGAATTTAGTAAGAATGCCAACTCCCAGAGGATCTTCTGTTTCACTCTGATGGCACTTGATGGTTTGTAAAAGTTAAATGTCCTCAGAGGAGTCATTCTCTTGCCTTCTGCCTCTTTCATACCTAGACTACGAATGGCTCTAAACTCACATGCAAGCGGCAAAGTGCCTGTTCTCCACTAGCTTCTCCCCATGCTCATTCATCGCTTCAGTCCGTTGCTTCAACACCATTAACAGTTGTTCAAAATCCCCATGCCGCTTGAGAAGGGTGTGAACAGCATCCACATGGTCCTGGATGCAAGGGGGTAAGGAAGAGAAAAAACTCAGTCAAATCTCACCCTTAAAACATGGCTCCCTCTGTGGCAGTAGTAGAATGTAGACTTTCCACATCATTGAGGACATTCAGCACTTTGAACAGGTGAGCAGCTGTGCCTTGTTTGATCCCTTCTCTCTCATGTTTTCTCCTTTCCTAAATGTCTATTCCCCCCTTTTTACTCACAGCAACATGGGGCCACCCTGATGTAAGCACTGTGTCTGGCTCAGGGAAGTATTATGGGGCTCCCACTTTCACAAACTCTTAAATAAGTTTTATATTGGGAAACTCTAACAGCTATTTTAGATCCATCTGTTTACCTGGCATTTGTTTACCTCCAAATTTCAGCAAATCAGTCTCTGCACATTCTAACAGTATTAGTGACAACTTTATCATTCAATCTAAAGATAAGTCTCCAACTGGAGTTGATAGTACTCATATCCCCTTTCCTAACCTCTCTCCACTGGAGGTGAGATCTTTACATACATTTTCCCCGGATGACTGCTGGTGAGTATTCTAAGCCTACCCAACTAGAACACACCCTGGTTTGCTGCGGAATGTACCAGGTACTTCCTTGCTAGTATTTTACTGATTGCTCTAGTATGTTACTGGATATAGCAGTGTGCAAGAAGAAAGAAATGAACAGAAAGCATGGTGAAAAGGTTAGCTAGAGCATCCCACCCCAAACACACCAATTGGCTACAACTAAAGCATCTCGGTTTTGTGTCTTTTCTATCTAAGCTTGGGTAGAAATTCAGAGGTTTGAGACACAGGAGAGAGGTTGTCATTGACTCTCTGTTCTGACAGAGTCATTGTGTGTCAAGACTGTTCTGGATGGGGAGTGGGAGCAGGAGACAACAAGGGTTGGTCTGATACATACCCCAAGGTCATCTACACGTAGAAAAGCCTCATGGCTGGAGAGGGTTGCACTGATGCGATCAGCTTCTCTATTGAACTTCTGCAGTTCCAAGCCATCTTGGAGCTGCTTCTTCCGTTGCGCCCACATCTCCTCCAGCTCACTGCTTTCATGTGTAATCCTCTTCATGATCTGGTGCACATCTTGGTTCCTGTTGCTGGTCTGGCTATGCATTACCTTCTGCCCCAGCTCTTCTAACTGCATAAACCTGCTCAAAGTCACAAGGAAAAGGACAAGTTACTCTGGAAGGACACTTAAGAAACCACCTCCTCCTCCTCCTCCTCGCATAGCTTCCCATTTCTCTGTCTCTCTGCTGCAGCAGCTGGTCTAGTCTTTACTTTCATTGTGGCAGAGCTGCCATTAATGGTTGCTTCCCCTGTTAAGTTCCTCTTTGCTGCCAGTCTGCAAGGTGATGCTGGGGTTGCTTGCTCAGGGTTGTACAAGTGAGGTGGGCCAGTAATTTTCTCTGTTGGCTTGAGAGCCCAAGAGAAGAGGCGACTAGCCTTTAAATGGGACAGGAAGAGCAGCAGTGTGTCTGGGTTTTTATAAAGGGTGAGATGGGGCTGATGGCCTGGGAATCTGGCATGCCTGGCTCACAAAACTGCGGGAGAGGAGAGGAACCACCCAGAGTGAGTGATTAGATTGGTCTGACAGAAGTAACCTGGGAAGGAAAAGAGGTCTGAGGACTTTAAATAGAGAGCTTCCTTCCTTCCTGAGCATCAGGAGAGAGATAGAAGGCAGCTATTGCAGTTAGAAATTTGGTTTCAGTTGGTACGGGGAAATTAAGTGAGTTATGTGCGCACACAGTTTTTATTTTCCTCACACTGAATTTTACATGGACTGAAATAAATCATGAGCATCAAGGGTATGCCTAGACTGCACCCCTTTGTCGGCAGAGGGATGCAGATTAGGCAGGTCGACATTGCAAATGAGGCAGGGATTTAAATATCCCATGTCTAATTTGCATAAAAATGACCACTGCGTTTTGCTGACTCTGCACTTTGTCGACAAAAAGGGGCAGCCTAGAGGGGGGATCTGTCAAGAAAGAAAGCCTTTTTCAATAGATCCCTTATGCCTCCTGCAAGGAGGTTGACAGGATCTGTTGAAAAAGGCTTTCTTTCTCGACAGATCCCCCTCTAGACTGCCGCTTTTTGCCGACAAAGTACTGAGTTGGCAAAATGCAGCGGCCATTTTTATGCAAATTAGGTGTGAAATATTCAAATCCCTGCCTCATTTGCAATGTCGACCTGCCTAATCTGCATCCCTCTGCCGACAGAGGGATGCAGTCTAGACATACCCCAAGTTTGTGTGTCCAGATCTGTTCCCTGAGTATGCGCCAGACCTCTCTGGTGCTGCAGCTACAGGACCTCACCCTCCTTCTCATCCTGGAAGCAAACTCTACCTTTCCTTCTGAGTGCGAATTTCCTTCAGCAGATCCTGATGCTCCTTCAGCAACTGCTCTGCAGAAGCTACATCCATGCCCATCTCCTCACTGCCCAGCTTCTCTCTGATGCCATCTGCCCACAGCAGGAGTCTGCGGCTGTCCTGCAGGAAAGCCTGTTGACCTTGTGCCAACTCCAGCATCATCGCCTTCTCTTTCATCTGTGACTTGAGTATGACCAGCAGCTTCTCCATGTTCTCCACTTGCTGTGTGATGGCTCTGCTCTCTGTGGGGTTGGTGTCCTTAATCCTATGCCAGGAAACCAAACAACACCCAGGATTCAGTTTCAGAGACAACATTAGCCTGAGAGCTTGTTTCAGCTCTCAATAAAATCTATGGGATTGTGTCTTATATCACCTCTAATTATTAGACAATATTTTCATTCTATGACTAATTTCTGCAAAAGAAAACAAATTACCAGGTCTTTCCTGTTCCCAGATTCAATAAAAAGCACAGTTGCACCCCATGCTCCTTTTCACATATCAAAACATGTAGGATGATCTGATTTCACCACTCATTGAAATGTTTCCTCTTTGTAGGTTTGAAAAGGGAATGGCTAACAGAATAGGGTAGGTGTGTGGCAATGGACTCATTGCCTAGAATACACACAGTGGGAATTGAGCTGATAATTCATAATACACCACATTCAATTGGATGTGCTGGGGAAGAAGAGCTCAGTGATTCAATATTACCCTAGTCAATAGAGACTTATTCTACTATAGAGATTCCATCTATGGATACATTTGGAGTCAGTCACCCAGACAGTCATCCAACTCTACTCAGGACAGAAGCACTCACCCAAAGAAGAAAAGGAGCAGTGACAGGGAGAGCATGCTCACAGTAGAAACTGACCTAAGGATAAGTCAAATCTACATATAAACTCTACACACTTTGCTTCAAATGGGCAAAAATATAGAAACAAATGGCTGATTCCTTACGATTTGGCCACACTCTTCAGGTATTCAATTTTCCTTTCCAGCACCAAGATCTCCCTGTCAAAGGCAGACAGCTTACGCTGGTCTACCTCCAGTACAGCAGGCATCTTTCCAGGTTCCCAATCTTTAAGATGGACCAGCTTATCTTGTAGTAGCCCTCTGGCACTCTGGCAGTTCTGGAGGAACATCCTCACATCAGCCACTCCAATCAGCTCAGAACCCTTTTCCTCCTTCAAAGCTTCCAGGCGCTCCCATCTAGAAATGGAAAAAAACAATTGCAACAGCTGTGTCTAGACACTAAAATCACAGTGCCTTTGCCTATGGAAGAAAAACAGTTTTCCAGTGGGTTTGTTGCACACACCTTTAAAAATCACATATGGCAAAATTCACTTCTGTGCTGAGGTGGGGGTGGGAAGAGATGCAAGCTCTATGCTCTCTTTACTACAATCTTCAAAATAAGATTGTGTTTACATTTAAAGGGAACCTAACTAATGCTTGGCTTCCACACGTGGATGAATTTCACCTGAAGGAGGTGTCTCTCTTCCCCACCCAATGCAAGTAGCTATTGCACTGTTGAGATTATGCAAATAAAATAAAATAATCAGTTGTGCCTGGAGATTTCTGATCATTGTAGGGATTGTATGTTGCTAAGAGTCCTTAGAAAAAAAGATATCAAAGGCATTTTACAAATGGAACAAGCTTTTTATATTTACCATTTTCAAACATGAATGTCTTAGCAGGGCATTGTAACTTCTGCCTCTGGGTGCTCAAATCAGCACTCAGTTGGGCAACACAGGTTGAACCAAACCAATAGCTCATAGCTTATTCCAAGTATATTTTACCTTTCATTATCTATTTATTTAGGGCCTCTGAGCCTGACCTTTGTATCCCAGCACAAGGAGCTGCATAGGGTGCAAGTAGATTTCCACCCTTTTTCCTTCCAGTGCAAAGGTCAGGCATCTCCTCTGCTGCATAAAGGGGAGTGTGCTATAGCACCTTAAGGTTGGTACAGAAGTCAGACTCCTCTTTTGGTCTGGAAAGGATAAGGACTTATGAGGAATTTTTCATCAGCTGTGTCTCTTGACAAAATGAGAGCATCCATGACCAGGCAATTGCTCTTATGATTTATATTTTCCCCCATATTGCCAGCCATTAATTGTTGGGACAATAATTTTCAAACAGGAACACCTATGCAGAAGGGTCCCATCCCCCACACAGACACTCAAATGAGCATTTCAGTATGTACAATAGGCATATATATGGCCAAGTGATGACTATTATTTGACCAAATGGTGATTAAGGTGTCCAGTGTGCAAGATGCTCTCACATGGAAAAGTGAGCTCCTTGCCTGCATGCCGAAAATGCTTGTTCTTTTCAATGACTGATTGCCAAGGGCAGCGAATAGCCTTTTCATTACAGTTGTCATAGTGCCATAAGCCCCACAGTCAGTCCATGTAGACTACCCTCTACTTATCATTATCCTAATTTTCGTAGAACATGGGGGCATATTAAGTGGTGATGCAAAGAATTCTAGTGGTATTAATTCCATCACTTCTTGGCATATTTTGATTTGGCTGAGTTATAAATAAAGGAGATTCTACAGTAAAAGCTTTCCCAGAGTTAAGTAACACAAACTGCAGTGACAAACTGTAATTTTCCATAGACAGTCCTCTCTCTTCACATCTAAGATCAGCAGTGTGTGCCAAAACGTATCAGAAAGGTATTTTCTCCAGGATAGTTTATGCAGGGCATGAAATGTCCTTGATGGGGTGATTCACCATTCTATCACGAGCATCTTTACCTCTTACTGATCTCTTTAATGTGGACTTGGATCTCATTCTGTTTGCTGGGACTGCTCTTCACAAACTTATCTGCTAGGCATTTGATCTCTCCCAGCTGGATTTTCCCAGCAGCCATTTCCACTAGAAAGCTCTAAAATAGGAAAAAATAGGTATAAAGTTTGGAGTGAAGAGCTAAAAATTCACCATCTCTGTGGAAATAGTGCTCCACAAGCTACTATATTCACTCATCTTCTATTTGTGTGTCTGCTATGCTTCAATGCCCAATTTATTTCTTTTTTCTCTCTTCATTCAGCTATCTCTTGTTAGAGTGCACTCCCCTACTGGGCTTTCCCTCTTAGCCTATTGATACGTAAACTTTTTCTTGTATAATATATATTCCATTATGCCCTACTGATATGTGGACAACTTATTCTGGTGTGAGTCTGAAGTTGTATAGTCATGCCTTAGTTTATACTGAAAAAACATTCCTAAATAGACAAATTACTACAGATTAAAATTCAATTAACAAAAGAAGTATGGAAGCAACTTCTCTGGAGTCCTCCTTTCTTTACATACATCCATTCTCCCATAATCAATCTGTTTCAGAAGTTATTTACACCGAGAGGAAATGAAGTACCTCATATTTCTGCTGTGTGACCTCCACATTGTCTGCTTCAGGCTGAAGGGTCCGGAAAATTTTTGCCTTATCTTCCATCCAAGATTGAAACTCTTCACAGGAGCTGTAGAAGCGGTACAACTGGATCATCTCCTCCAGACCTTTCTTTCTGTGCTGTAAAACCGATGGAAAATTAAATATTGTGGCACACAGGCCTTTTGCAGAAAGAGATCCCCATGGCTAAAGAACAAAGCATCCAGCTTAACATGCCAGTTTGGTGCCAGTTCTTCCTGCTAACACACAGTGAACACAAATCTGTATCTTGAGCCTGGAATACCTGTTCCTGGGGCAATAGGAATCGGGAGTATCAGAAAATTGATGCTCACAACATCTAACAAGAATAAAGTTTCATAGCTGCGAATGCTGGCTGATGGAAGACACAAGGCAACAATACAAAAGGAGCATAATCTCTTTAATCGTAGGCATGTGTGCAAGCACTGGTTGCAGGAAAAATAGGAATTGTAGGCTTTACATGACAGCTTTTTGGGTAGGGCCTCTTGGAGATTGAGGATACAGAGGAATAAAGAGAAAAACGAATAGTCTTTCATGAATGCCTGTGTTAAAGTCTTTGCCACTGAAGCTCCAAGACTTGGGGTTAACCTCCCATGTTTGTCCAACCCAGGAGAGAATCTCCTGCTGTATTAGGCAAACTCTAGTGAAGCCAACAAGTTAGAGAAGGAAGCTATTAAAAATATAAATATAAGAATTGGGAGGAAAATGTGATGATTATGGAAATAAATGGAAGGTTCTACAGACTAGATAATAGCTCAACCAAAATGCACTCAACACTTCAATACAATTTCTGAATGTTTTGAGTTTCACCCATGATTCTTTCCTTCTGTTAACATGATACTGGTAAAAATCAGAAAAGCATTACACAGAGTAGAATACAGCCACCAGTTTCTCCAGGGGCTACATAGTTCAGAATTGCAGTACATTGTCAGAGATGAGCAAGGGTAGTTAACAGAACACTTGCCCACACTTTGCATGGTGCAAGACTTCACTACTAATCTCCAAGATGGGCTACATAAGTACAAGGTATTGAAAGAGGTATAATACCTCAGCCATGGTCTGCAAGTTCTCATAAAGCAAGTTAATGTCTTTCTGGGTCCTCCAGATGGTCTCTGGAACAAAGTGAGGGTCTGAATCAGGTGGATTAGAAAATCCAGTTTCAGAGGCTCCCCACTGCATGTTGTGGTTTGATGGTAGTTTAGTGATCATCTGGTTTAGGCTGCTCTGGGCGTGACTCTTCACCATAGGCACTGACATCACCTGGTACAAGTAAAATAAAACAGAATCAGTCTGTCATGCTATGCATAATCGGAGCTCCAGACCTCAAAGATAAATTAAAGGACTACATTTTCAAAATGATCGGCCTGATTCAAAGCATTATATGTTGCAATTTGCAAATGCCTCTGCATGATGTACTGAACACATTGAATGGGGGAGTTAGAGCACCCCTGGAGATCAAGTGAGTTTAATAAGGCAAATCAAGAAGCCGTGGACTCAAATTGAAAATGGATTTCAGCCAGGATCATTACAGAAAAGCCTCAGGTGAGAAGATTAAAGTTAAGTATTAGAGCTTTAGAAAAGGAGGAAGAGAGGGAGTAGTTGGTATATAATGGGCATTTGGAAAGAGAGTTGGATTCGGTAGGAAGTAAAACAAGGTGGAGAGGAGCAGGAGATTTGTAAGACTTAGGAGAGAAGACTGGTATGGATGAGCCAGTCTTGGTGCTAAAGAACCAAAAACTGTATTTTAAGGACTTCATCAGTGACAGCCAGGGGACAGGGCCCCAACTCACATATAATTAAGAGAGCTGATTGAATCTAGGCTCCTCTAATTTGATAGGAAATCCCAACATTTCAAAAAACCTTGTTTTTATTCCAAATTGGAATAAGAAGTCATTTTGACCTGGAAAACCAAAATATTCAATTCCAAAAAGATTAAAATGGAACATCTTGGCCTTATCTAAATGCCTTTTTTCAATGAAGTTTTGTCAACATGGACACATTTTCATAAAATGTTTCAATTTCACCAAATTTCCAACCAACTCTAATAAATAAAAACAAAGGGGAAGGAGAGGGGCATAGCCTTGTATCCACTCACTGCAGATGGAGCCTGCTTTGCTACAGCATGGGCTTGTTGTTCCAGGCGCCTCATCTCCAAGCAGTAGGCTGTGATCTCCTTCTCCAATCGCTGGTGGCGGTGTAGCAAGGCTTCTGTGCTGGACTCATCTTTCCCATAATCCTTGCTGGCTACGAGGGGCAGTCGCTCCCGTAGCCATGACTCTGCTTCATCAATGTCAGCAAAGTACTGAAGGAAACACAACCGAGGAGAATGTTTAATTAAACAGCTCTAAGAGATACACATCCAACAGTCCCTCTCCTCTGGCAAATGGTCAACAGGGCAGTAATTGCATCAGACTTGGTAGTAATCAGGGTCACACTGTCACCTTGGCCTGGTCTCACCCATAAAGAAGCTAATTTACACATCAGATTCTTTTTCAGTTATTTAACTTGAGTACTTCTAACTGATAATGAAGGTCACTATATGTTCTTGACTAGCTATGTACCACTGCCCTCTACTGGCTTGCTTGCAGAAGAGATGAGTCTGATCTCAAATGCTAGAAGCCTGAATCTTTAAAAGTTGAAGGTCAAAGTTTCCCTCCCAGTGCTCCATGCATGCAGAATAGCTAACAGCATCAAAGTATATATATATATATCAATCATTATTGTAAGGAATAAGGAAAGCACAATCTGGAATATAGTGTTTGGGACACATTTTACAGCAGCTAAATGAAAACAATCAGCAGTGTCTTCCTGCAGAAGACCAGGACTTGTGAGAAACATGAAGTGAGAGAGCCTGGACTTTAATAAAATTATTAATATCATGTGAGCTGAAAGCTATTTTGTTTCACCCGAGAAAAGCTTATTATTTCCAGACCCTTTTTGCATTCCTAACTGAAACGCCAATCTGGTGACCCAAACAGAAATGGAAAGACTCCATGTTCTTTCTATTATAAAATGCAAGAACTGTAGCCTAGTTTTTACCTGTTTGATTAGAGCAGCTGTCTGTAGACGGATTTTACGATAGGCCACTTCATCTTCGAGCTGTTGCCACAGCTTCTGGAGGCTATCTGTCTGCATCTGGATATCCCTCTGGTTGGAGTGGTTCCTTTGACAAAGCTCCCAGCCTTGCTTCACCACATTGGAACAAATTGCCTTGTGGGAGTTACACTCAATTTCTAGTGCCTGTGAAATAAAGTGACATGATTATGAGTAGTGGAAACATAGGCCCAAGGAACTGACCTGCCCCAGGACCGACATGGGGTTTTCCCACTGCTAGACTCTTCTGTCAGCTACTATAAAATTAACATGCAAGAATTCTTATTTTCCACCATTTTGACCCTGCCCCTTTCTTCAGAGATAACAGTGTCCTTTGAACCCTATTACTTCTTTTTCATTCACCCAGGTATTATGCTATGGTTAGTCATTGAGATATTCCCCTTCCCTATTCCAGCAGCATGATGGTCTGTGCTTGTCATCAAGGGTGTGTCTAGATGTGGACTTTTGTCGACAAAACTATACCTGCGTCTACACTACCGCCGAATTCTGTCGACATAATGTCGACAGAACTCGGCAGTTTTGTCGACGGTGGGAAGCCTCATTCTACGAGGAATAACGCCTTTTGTCAACAGAGTTCTGTCGACAGAAGGTGTTATTGCATCTACACTGTGCTTTGCGTCTACACTCTCATGTCAACAAAGTGGCTTTCTTTGTCAACAGAACTGGCTGTAGTCTAGACGCTCTTTGTCAACAGAAGCTTTGTCAACAGTATCTGTCAACAAAGCCTCTGTGGACAAAAGCCTGTAGTCTAGACATACCCCTATTGGGTAGGCAGCCTTTCACTACCAGCACACACTTACCTTCTCTCACATACAACTCTAGAGATCTTATGGTTCATGGCCCTGCTCTCATGCCTTTACTGTTGACTTCCCAATTATAAAGAGCCACATGCAGGTAATTACTGTTTAAATTTTGTCACTGTCCTGTCACGTTTGTCACAGGGATTTCTCTACATCAACCAGATGCAACTTCATGAATCTGAGCTTTTCTCCCCAAACTATGTCCAATTCATAGGGAGAGCTGGCAGCAAGTTTCTGGGAGGCCCCAGAAATGTTATTCTAGGGTTTCCCATCCCTCCTTTCTTTATTACAGCTCAGATGCTTCCCCTTCATTTATGCCAAGCCTACTCTACTCATTCTTCCCACGTACCTCATTTGGGAAGAGGATGAACGGGTAAGAAATATTGCTTTCTCTCATCCACAAATGGGGCCTAATGGATAGCACACTGAGCATCACTCTGCTTGTCTTGCATATCCACAATCCCATATTAAACACAGGGGCTACGTCTACACTGGCCCCTTTTCCGGAAGGGGCATGTAAATTTCACTAGTCGTCGTAGGGAAATCCGCGGGGGATTTAAATATCCCCCGCGGCATTTAAATAAAAATGTCCGCCGCTTTTTTCCGGCTTTTAAAAAAGCCGGAAAAGAGCGTCTAGACTGGCCCCGATCCTCCGGAAAAAGCGCCCTTTTCCGGAGGCCCTTATTCTTACTTCAAAGTGAGCATACATCCTTTCCCCTCAGTTAGCTACTTGGCTGAGCTGCAGTGCCTCCTTTTAAGTCCCTCTTTGTGGTGTTTTAGATGCTGCTTGTAATTATTAGAACTGGGAGCACTGGCTGTTGGGAATCTGGAAGCACAGGAAGGAGGGGGGAGGAGATGGGCCAGGCTGAGTGAGTAATACTAAGCTGCATGGTGTCTCAGGTCCCAAAAGCCTGCCAGCACCCTTAATTTGAGGATTAAATGCTATTGCAATTGGTTTAAATGAATGATGGAAGACAAGATTCAATATAAAGAACAGACACTGGTCTACAAAAGACTGTACCTTGTGCTTCTGAATGGAGGCATTAATCTGACTGAGGTCTCGTCCTAATGTCGCTGTCCTCACTAGCTGCCATTTTTCAGAGATCCATGACTCTTCTGCCTGACAATCACGGTAAAACTCAAAAAGCTTCAATGCTTCCTGTAGCTGGGATTGTCTAATACCAGATAAAAAGCAGCATAGCTCAGTCAGTAGTGAGTTTTCAGGTACAATGTAGAAACAGAGAATAGATTGATTAAAGGGCTTTAGGCCTGCAGAAAACTCAGAGATTGAATTCCCGTGGCACTTCTGAGTCATGGCTGAATGCAGCAACACTGGGAAGCCAAATTCCACTCTCAACCACGGAGATGGACAATGCATCGTACCAGGTCCAGATCACATAGACACAACCAGGACACTGAAGTTCCCACTTGATCTACAATAGCTGATGATTATTCTTAAGGTCAATGGGCTGTACTATCTCCTCATATGTTTGAGCACTCCTGCCAGCCCCAATCACTTTCATGCTAGTTTCAGTTTTGAAGCTTGAACAATGAAGTGAGCACAGCAGGGAGCTGTGTTTCGATCAGCTCCCTCTGTGATTATTTCCTCCTCTTCTGGACCCAAACAGAAGAGTCAGCATTAAACATTACTCAGTGGCTGAAAATGCACCTGCCTCTGTTATACCTGGAGAAATTATATATGTTGAGAAATTAGAAAGTCTAGATTCCTCCACCCCCTTGCCACCATTATTTCCATTTTGAAAGGACCCACCATTCTAATCAGAAAGAGTTGGGCCAGGAGGAGAGCCTTACCGGGATTTGCTGAGAACTGCAAGGTTTCGGTACAGCTGATGGAGCATCCGAACTTTGGCATGAAGCACCTCTGACTTGATTGCTTTGCCCTTGGTGACCTCTTCTGACCTCTGGGTGATGTACCTTATTTTGGCATCATAGGAAGAGAGCTGGAAGTCAACCAAATTGTGTTTCTGCAGCAAATCCACAACGTCCAAGAGCTGCTTTCCATAATCCTGAGACTTCACTAGTACCTGCAAACCAAAAGTGAGACATTATCAGCATTACGTTCTTATCCTCTCCCATGTGTGTGCAGCCAGTGCCGTCCAGGGATCTCAAGGCTTGATCCACAAGCCACTGAAATCCATAGAAGGACTCCCATTGGCCCTGACTAGTGTTGGATTGGACTCTAAATGAGTAAATGGGTATGTGGTCTGAACTCAGAGGAAGCAATAACTGGCTGATTGGAAGGAAATTCACAGCCAGTCCTGGCCTTTCAATTCACTAGATATCACCCACAGTCCACTGCTTTTATCTGCCACACTGGATGTGAGGGAATCACTTTTCAGTGTTTGACATGCACTTGTGTCTAGCATTTACCATGCCCACTGACAACTTCTATATTCCTGATTACAATGTGCTTGATTCCATTTCTCTCTGAAGAACTCTAGGGCCCTCCCCTTTTACAGTGCATTAGACTTGCATCATTTTCCTCTGACGACCATAGTTGGTTTTGGAAGCAAGTGTCCTGTTAGTGGAAATAATAACTGGTGAAAAATATTTTCTTTTCTGACCAAGAAGTAGGGCTCAGAATGCATTGCAAGTCACTGTCTCCAATTTCCAATTCACAATTTTACATAAACTGCTGGGTCCATAAACAAAATGGTTTTTATATTTCATGTTTAGCATAATCCATTGTATTTGCTTTCTTGCACAGTAGAGAGCAAGGCAAAACCATATATTTACAGTGGTTGCCATTACACCGTCAACAGTTACCAATCACCACACAATGGCGTCTTAAACACCAGCTATCTCCACTAAGTGACTTCAGTTTGAATTGTGGTGATTGGTTACTTCTACAAATCAGGACATTTTTTATTTAGATGCTTTAATATGGATTCAGCTGCTTACTTTTGAAAATTCTACCCATAATACACTCAATTCCCAGCACATTATAAACACTGCAACCATAACTGTCCCTGGAATAATGGGGTTTCTGCAATTACTTACATTGGCTGTGGTACAAAGTGTATGCACAGCCCACACACCGATGGAGAGGAGGTAGGTACCTGCAGTTCTTTTAGTTCCTCTGTAATGGTATCAATTTCCCTCTGAAGGCCCTGAATTTCTTGCATTGCTCCCAGAGTGTGTTCCTGTATCCGGAGCTGATCCAGTAGATCCTGCCATTGTTGGGCTATGTCCTCTTGCCTGTAAAGAAGGGAGGAGAAAAAAGAATGATACATCCATGAGGATCTGATGCTTTGGAGAGCATGGGGAAAGACCCTGTTGACAAATGGGGCTTACAATTTGAGAGGAGTTAAATGAACACCAAGGGTTCCTATAGTCATAGCCAGTGTATGTGTCTAATGAAGCATACACTGGTCACATGGCTCGGCACACTAAATCCCTTCAATGAATATGGTCCTGTGGAAGATACCTTTTTGGTTAACATGTAAAATATGATTAACCTTGTTTAAGCATTACTGTGGACACATTTTCATAAATGATGTCCTATGACCCTTTTTTGTCTGAGGCAATAAATAGTTATGCAAAAAAGGGATGGTCCCTTAAATGTCTCAGATTAAATAAACATCCATTCAATTTATATCTCAAATTAAAACTAAAACTTCTGTGGAGTTTGGTTAAGTATTTTATTATTTTCAGAGATGGTTCCAGCTTTGGTTGAGTCTAAAAAATACAAGTACTGAAATACCACAGGAAAGATTGTATCTATTTCTATCCTCTCCCAAACTAGGAATTACTGATTATTTTAGAAGCCCTGATCTCATACAATTTATAGCCCAATTTGGGATCTAAAGAAGCCTGTAAAGATCTGTGGCTATCTGAACCACTCCAACCACACACCAAAAGATGTGTTGGGTTGGCTGAAAATATTCCACTGAAACTTTCTATAAATGGAAGGTTGATTTTCAACTAAACAAAAATTTCAGATTAAGTTTCAGCTTTCCATCCAAGATCAGGGCTTGTATTTTTATTGGCCAAATTGTATTCCCCAGTTTTTGAGATTCTTTTTTCAACACAAAGTTAAAATGTTAATGAAAATTAAACTTTTTGCTTTTTGCTTTATATTTTTTGTGGGGAAAAAATCTGTCCACCTCTACTTGTTCCTTCCTTTTCCACATCCACTTAATATCATAACTTGTTTAGTTTCTGGTACTGGCCATTTCTGCGATCATGACTCACTTCTTCAGGATCTGGCTCTTGTGATGATAGTTCTCGCGGGCGATGAGAGCCGCCATGTCAGCCAGTGCTCTGAAGCGCTGCTCCCTGGGCAGTACATCAGCCACAACAGCCTTGAGTTTCTTAGTGGCAGCCTCCACCTTCTCCACGCTCTCTGGCTGGAAGTCCTGCTTCCTGATCACCTTCCTCATGTCCTCCAAGTATGACTCACGCAGGGCTGCTTTCTTCAGGAACCTCTGGGCCAGCTGTTCCACGCTTTCCAGCCTCCTCATCTCCTGCTGCAGTGCTTCTCCCCGGCTGTGCTCTGCTTTCTCCAGGATGACCCAGTGCTTCTCCACATCTTGCAGGGTCCTGCCTTCCGGGGGCAGATATGGCCATTGGTTGTTGGCTCTCTGCTTGGTTCTGATCTGGAAGAAGTGGGCTTCAATCATGCCCCTCTCTTGGTATTTAGGGGGCTTCTCTACCGTGCGGTAGGTCTTGAAGTTGGCCATGAGCATCCGCATGTCCTGTATGGAGTTGGGAAAGTGGCGATCGTCCAACTCTATTACTTTCTGTTTAATCCATTTCAACAGCTCGGAGGTCATCTGCTCATATTGACACTTCAAGTCATCTATCTCCTTCAGCAAAAGCAGAATCTGAAACATAAGCATGGAAACATAAGGTGTTTAAGCAGCAAAAAGAAGCAAAGAGGAAGAAAACTATGTGGCATCATGCTCCTAAACTCAATTTAATCAGGATGCAAATGAGCTGCAGGTCGGTGGACATCAGGACAAGAAAAGTGTTCTTTAACACAGCAGGTTGCCATGTCCATCCAGTTATGAAATCAGCATGGAGACAGTTAGCACAGGAGAGACAAGGAGAATTCCTTCCCAGGCTATGTTCAATAAGAGTAGAATGATCATCCCCAAAACATGTTAAGCAAAGGGATATAAAGTGATTTCATGTACCAATATTAATTTTAGTTCCTTTTAAAAAACAAAAGAATCTTGAGGCTCATATAAGTTATAGACAATGCTAGCTACTTGCAAGAGGTAGACATTATGTTGTCAAGAACTATGCAAGCTTCCTCTTAGGACTCCAAAATAAGAATTCTATTTTCAGAATTTGTTTTTGTTCCACATTGGAACAAACCCAAGATCTTGCAATTTTTTTAGGGAAATAAAAGCAATGATGGAGAGGAAGTGAGAGAGATTTGTGCCCTAGGATAGCCAATAGGCCAGTGGCTAGGGACCCTCTCCTGGGATGTGAGAGACTAAGGTTCAACTCTGTGGTCTGCCTAATTTGTAGGAGGAGTTTGAACCTGGGTTTCTCTCAGTCTTGGCAAATGCCTTGGCTATTCTGAGGAGTCTGCCTTCCCCCCACCTCAAATTCCATTCTAGGCCTGAGAAACCTTCATCAAGAAAAATTCATCAACATAGATACTTTTCCACAAAAAGTTTCAGTGAGTCAGCCTTTTCCAATGAAACAACATTTTGATGGAAATATCGCAACCACTTCTCCTTTCTACCTCAGGTCAGCCCGAGACACCTTGTTCCTGAGCAGCAGCGCTCTTGCCACTGACTCCTGAACTTGTGTTGAACAGACACTGAAAAATGTGCCACAATAAGCAATGCTTTTGGAGGACGGCAAATGTCAACTAGTAGAGACTCTGACACCGCAATGCTCATTTATTTGACTTGCCATGTTGCCTGGATTGGGACTCAGGTTTCCTGAAGTAAAAGGTTAGAGTAAAATCTGTAGTGAATCAGAGTGAGACTCAAATCTCTCTTATATACACCTCTTATTCCTTTTTCTTTGTGCTTTGTATTGTATTTCTTCCTCGTCACCCTGTGTGACTCGTACACCTGAAATGCCCCAAAGATACCTTGGCTAACATTGGCTGAAACCTATTGCATGATTGTTCAAATGCAGAATGACATTCTGTGTCTCTGTTGCTCTGTGTGGAGACTCAGCACCCATCTGTTCTGCTCTGCAGACACTTCAGTTAATAAAGAAGGTGTTGCAAGTGAACAAAGATCTAAGAGCTACATTCTAATCTGCTTTTGCCCATCACAAAGTGCACTTGGAAAAGAGTGGCTGTCCAAATGCTCGAAGAGGAGTGAAACAGCACCAACCTTTAGTGCAGGAAAAGCAGCCTGTGGCATCAGGGCTCCCTTCTGTATGTTCTGCCATCGCACCCAGTTCTGGCTGAAGGATCCTAATAAGTGCATAGTCACTGAAGCGTGTGGGGGAAGGGATATTTACCTCTCTCGATTGATTCCTACTGCAACCCTGGTCACCCACTTAGCCCCTGCTCTCAGGCTGTCTTGACACATTGAGGCTTCCCTCCTCAATCCTATTAGTGAATTCAGAGCTGCCTATCTGAGGGAACTAAGGACATGAAGATATTATGGTGTGTTCATGTGTGTGTGTTTATTTGCGCATGCGTACAGAGATGGCAGAGAACCTCTAAGAAGAAACTAGGGGGAAAAACGCTGAGGGGGGAGAGAATAATGGGAAACAAAAAGTAGGTAACTGCAAGGAGAAAAATAAACAATGAAAATAAAAAACACAAACAGGAAAATGCAGAAAATTAAAAAGTGGAGGAAGGTAGATTCACCCCAAAATCTTTTTCCAGAATATGAAGATGTGTCCTTTGAGTTCTTATGTGATTCATCTAAGTAGTGCCTATGACAACAGGGACTTTCAAAATGGCTACCCTAAATAAACACAGTGAGTAGACTTAAAAAGTTCCCTCCTTTCTGAGGCAGATTCCCATTTGCAGTGATAATCTATTTTATGTAAAGGAAGCAACTCTGAAGCCAGAAGAAACTCTGCAAATGTGACCTTTGCTCTGTAGATTATAACTGTGGAACTGGCTAATGTTAGGAATATAGTGGTGTGAGAGAGGAAATAAGATGGTCTAATGAAGAACCTGAAATATGTTTCCACTCCAGAGTCTAAAGTAGTGCCCAATCATTGTTTAATCAAGCTACAAGTCCTCCTCTCTTCTAACACCTCTGTTAAGAGTACAGTGCTGTTGTTGATATTCAGCTCAGGATCTCCTTCTCTTTATCCCAGATTAGCTAACAGCACAAACCCTCCACTGAGAAAGCTTTTTAATCTTGTCATAACAAGGAAAATCATGCTTTGGATTTTTGTCCCTGCCGTGCTGCAAAAATATCCCTGCCAGAGTACAACCATCTTTTAAAAATCAGATTTTCATCACCTCACATGCACACATAGAAAGGTGAATACTTTCTGGGTTCACTTTATATTTTTGGTTAAAAAGGAAGGGAATTTTGCAAACAGAAAAGTTATTGTTCCCAAAGAAAACAGTTGTCATTGCAACAACCACAGCATTTTGGCCAGAACCAGTGAAAAATACCAGTGGTTTTTCCATGAGAAATGTTTAAAAAACTTATTAATTTAATTTTTTAATAAAGAACTGAAATCAATTTGGTTTTTGTTTTTTTTAAATACGGTACTAGCATTTATTTGTTTTAGTCTTTTTTTATTTTGTGTTTTTTTTCCTTATTTTTTTTCCTTTTGTCCCCTCATCACTGGAAAAGAGGGAGGGGAAAGAAGAGAAAAGGGAAAAAACACAAATCAGATTGAAAACCTAATTTCTTCTGAAACATAATTTCAGAGACATTTTTCCAGATTTTTTTCTGTTTAGGAAAAAAGGCTATTTTCCATGATAAATTTTTGATAATTTTTTTTTGACCAGCACAAATTTCTGTATAACTATATTATTGTAGAGATTAAATGACTTTTCCATGTGCCTCACTGCTTACTAAGCACCTCACTTATCAATTACCAAATATGACTAAATAATGAAGTTAATTTTCATATAGATAGATCCCTTTAGAAAGGCTAGATTATAGCAGCAGATAAGTCATTGCCAAACAGAATTGTGTACACACTCACACCAGTTGTATTGTTGACAAGTGACTATGGAAGGCTCCATAGAATCAAGTCTCTGAAACCACTGCGCAAATGGCTTGAGTTAACATGACTGTGCAGTTCTCCTGAGGTAAGGCTTTCCCCCAAACTGGTTGAACTTTATGACTGTACAGTTCACCTGAGTTAAGGCTTTCCCCCAAACTGGTTGAACTTTATGCTACCAGCAAGAGGGCTCAGTTGAGAGAGCTGGAAGGCAATAGGAAAAGTGGTATGCACTGACTTTAAAGAGCCTTTTCTGGAAAGTCTGGTCCTGCTTCAGCCTTGAAAAGTAGTGGTAATAGAGTGACACATAGGTCATGATGGATCTCTCGTCCGGGTGAGGCACTGCCACATCCTCAGCATCCAGCAGCTTAGTGATCCCCAGGTGCCTCTGTGCCACACTGAAGGCATTGTTCAGGTTCCTGATGGGCTGCTCGCGCAGCAATGAGCTGTACTGGATGAGATCAGGTCTGGATGAGGAAACACACACACACACACACAAAGGACATAAATGAGGAGGGTTAGATTTCGAAACAACAAAACACCAATTAGTTACTATCAAGAAGAGTTATGCTTTCCACACATTACATAGCTACACAACATGCTGTATGTGCACATTATGTACTGCAGTGTAGCGCCTGGGACCTATCACTGCTCTTTTCATTATGGGCTGTACAGTAGCAACTATTCACACAGATTTTCCTTTGGCTTCAGGGGGCATGTGCTCAGCTTTCCTCCTGCCTCTTGTTCTCCCGGGCAGCTGAAACAAACACTCCCTAGGCAGGAATTTCAAATGTGGGAATCTTGTCCCTTTCTGGGGAGTTCTGAGGTTCTAAGTCTTCCTTCCAATATATGGAGCAGCACAGGTATCTGAGGGGAGAACTGTCCAAGGGGACAGTCCCCTTTTCTCCCTTTGTTCTTCTTCTCCCTGCTGATTTCATTAAGGGAAACCCTGCTCCCCAAAGCTCTCTGACGGGCTGAAGTGCAAGCTGAGACCACAGAAAACTCCATTATTGATAGCATTTCAGAAAGTGCAGTTGAAACCAGAGAGAAAGGTGAAGCTCAAAGAAAGCAAATTCAATGTATGTTTCTCTAGTATTTTTCTTCATGCAGGTGTTTTGAACAGGAGAAGCCAAGTTTGGAGACATTGTTACCCACGCCTATCAGTGCTTGCCAGCATGGATCAGTGAAAGCACAATTCTCCAGCATGGCACTGGTAGTAAAATCACATTCCTGAAGACACTCAGCAGAATCTTTGCTCCTGCAGAGGACACAAACCAGCCGAGATGATGAGTCACCACTGAGTGGTCCCATGCCAGCATCTCCTCCGGCGCAGTTGTACCACTGCCAGGGTCCAGCCCTGGTCTCAGCCCTTCTATGCAGCTGCGTCTGTCTGAGATACGTACAGCAGCCCCACCAGAAGATAGGGCTGGGAGTGGTAAAGCCGCATCAGAGGAGGTGGCTGCACTAGGCCACCTGGCAGCCCCATGTTCTTCTCCTTTGGCCACTGCAGTTCCAAAGTCTCCAGAGGTCAGAGCCCTCCTCCCCTTCTCAAGTAATGAGAGATGAATCAGGGGCAGATGGGGATCCTGGGCTGAGGGTGGCTGTAGGATGGGGAGGAGTCATGTGGAAAATTACGTGGGGAGATCTTGTGCCCCCTTTAGCTCATGACCCAACCATACCATAAGAAATGGATTCTACTTGCACCACTGATTCAGACCCCAGAAGTGATCATACTAGAGCAAGACACAGTGGCATCAGCTGTTATTGAAGCCTCCCCACATCACCTATTTACCTGTGAACGTGAATGAGAGCATTGAAAGCCAGGCCGTCAGACCAGCTTCTGGAGAAGTCCTTCACGCTCACATTGGAGTAGCTAGCAGTCTTATGCTGACACCAGATTAGCAGGGCTTCATTCGCAGACAGTACGTCAGCACGGACTCCAAATTCCTCCTGGGAGGAGGGCAAGGACGGTACATTCAGGATAGGCAATACATTGCTGCTCATAATAACAGCAGTCACACCATAGCTAAAGCTGCAACTCAGTTTCTTTTAAAAAATTGACTTATGTCCCTTCCTAAAATCCACAAAAATTCATATCAGTCTTAAAATTGGTAGGCAAGGTCAAAGGTCAAGGCTAAAAGCTTTTACCAAGTTGGAGCTGAACAAGGCTGTCCCTACATTATGACACCCTAAAATAGGTCTTCAGAAAGTTCAGAAAGTCTTTTTTGGTTCATTTTTTAACAAGCTAATGGAAAACAAGAGAGGCATACAGCTTAGTTTATTTGTCTCCTTAGCTATGATCTTGTATCCTGCACCAAAATTTAGATCTTTAATTTTAAAAGTTACTGGCTTTAGATTTGGCTACATCTCTAAGGAATCCAGCACTGGCCAATTTATCATAGACATTAAGTGATTCCTGGAGACTTTAAACAAGTCTTTAGCACTTTTCCTTGATCAGAAGGTAGCCCAATCAACAAGGGAAAATGTTTCTCCAAAAATGTGCTTTACAAGGCTTGCAGAAGAGTGAGGTGTATATGGGATTCAATAAATCTCCAGCTTCAGGGTACTTCAAGAATATTTTGGGTCATAAATGTATAAGGGAAACACCATGTTTGGCTGAAACAAGTCACACCATATCTTCAGCTGACATGACAGTGAAATTTATTAAAATAAGGAAGTAGATCTTCATCCTAATCCCAATAACTACTTCACCCCCAGAAATTAGTTTTTTATGTGATGTTGGTGTTGGTCTCTCTAATGAAGTATAAGAGAGACTCAAGTTTTGTGTGTGAGCAGAAGAGAATATGGAATTCAAAAGAAGCTCTTAATCCTTCTAGAATTATGGCTGATGGGGGTTTCCCCATGAACTCACTAAGTTTTTCTTCACTTTCCCCTTAATATTACATCAATAAATTGATGTGTATATGCACCATTGACCTCCATTGGGTGAAATCAGAACTGCTGAATAGTTCAGAAGTAGGGAGGGTCAAAGTTTGTAAAATAAAATCTTACATTAAAAATGGCTTCTTGATTAATGCCAACATTTTCATTACAATGTTTATAATGATTTGAAAAAGTCCACTTTTTAAATTAAACAATTTGAAAGAAAAAAAAGTTGTTCTGAATCAGTTCAAAAACAAAAAAAAGGTCAAAATGATTCAAAACAAAATGGTGTGAGTTTTCATTTGGTTTCCCAAGAGGAAAAAAGGGAAGGGAAGAAAGGAACGAAAGGGAGAAAAGCAGAATTTTTTTATTTTATTTAATTCAAAGTGAAATGATTTTTCTTTTTAAAATTCTGTAATAAATAAAATGAAATAAACATTTTTGCTCTAATTTTTCTATGTTAAGTAATTCCCTTTTTAAAAAGGAGCTTTAGTCATAAGTCTCATGTTGCTATCAGTGAATGGAAATTCTAGTTTAGCTTAAGTATGAATCTGAGTCTCCCTGTTAATTCCCTTCTTTTATCATTCACGGGGAGAACACGACTGCCTGCAGTGCAGCCAACCTGCTCCTTACATTTGCAGCTCTGTATTAAGAGAATATTCATAAAGGGACCTCAGGCGTCAGTCACCTTCAAGACTCAAAAAGGATTTTTTTCCTTCAGTGCACAACTGAAATCTGAGTTCTTTTTCACCTTCTGGAATAGGCTTTTAAGAGAGCTTGTAGAATTCTCCTCACTGGTGGTTTTTAAGAACTGTTTGAACAAATCTGTTAGTCTTCTAAGGTTACTTAGTCCTGCCTAATGGTCTGAAACTGAATAGGAAGAGGGGAGGGAGCTGTGTGATTGCATTTAAAGGCATTGGGCAGATGATGCAAAAATCCTGAGGGAGTCTGTATGCACTTAGCCAGTGATGTCAACAATGAAGATCCTTTAGCAGCTATCAGCCAGTCCAGTAGAGAGCAGTGGTAAAAAGACACATTAGCTGAACACAAGAGCCATGTGGCTATCATTCCTTGTACTAGCAGAGAGAGTGTTACTGCTCCTCCAGCACCTCAACTAAGCCCTGTACTTTCAGTGGTGATGGAAAATGAGTCTGAATGTAACATCATATGATTGCAGGCGGCAGATGACCGGTATGCCAGTGGGTTGGATACATTAAACTTTTCAGCACATCAGAAAATAGCAAAACTGGAAATAAGTATATTTTTAACACTGAGGGTAAAAATTAGTCATTGGACTAGCTAAGCAAGGGATGTGGCATGTTCTCCCTCACTTGCGGTCTTTAAATCGAGATTGAATTTTTTTTAACCTCCACCCCAGTTCAACCACGACTTATAGATGCAAAAAATTCAGGGTGAAATGTTATGGAGTGTGTGATCCAAGTGGTCAGAATAGATTATCATAATGATCCCTTCTAGCCTTGAGCTCTATGAAATCTCTGAAACACATATAGGCAATCAGAAGAACAAAGACCTTGTTTTACCTTATCAAGTTTGATGGAAGAAATCTGGATCCGGAGGATAATGATCCAGATTAATCCTAGGATTAGAATTCGGTCCCCATCTACAATGTTCTCAGGCCCAATCACCTTTACTTGCACCTGCTAATAGACAAGCAATTCCTTTCAGCATAAAGCAATTGGTTTCCACCAGTTTGGAGAGGGCACTTGCATAATAAACAATATGTGCAAAAATATGTGTTCCCTCTTGGCTCTTATTCAGAAAGCAACAAAAACTGTACAATATTGGAAAAGGGTTGAATCCCTTTAAATAGTTTGCGAGCCTTTTATTGGCTCTGTCCTCTGTGTTTCAGATGCCACCCAGAACCCTGTCAAAGCAGCAGAATATTTATGTAGCTATAACTTCCATGCTGCATATAGTTAGTCAACATGGTTATTTGGATTTCCCTGTACCTATGTGCTACATCACATTTGTTTTGTAATAAATGAAAGGCACAAGATGTTCCTTTAACAAGTAACAAGAGAGAACATGGATATCAAAAAGTTTCATGGTGGATAGCATCTGGCAGCTTGAGAAATTATGAGCAAACTAATGAAGGTGCAGTGACAGCAGCAGAACCACCCTCTTCTCTCACGTGAGAAGGAAACTCCTTATGAGAGAAGGTTAATATGAAACCAGGGAAAGAAGGTGAAAGGGACAGATTAAACAAACAGCTCATTATGTAGCATATAGGAAAAAGCAAGCAAGCAAATCCCCCTGTAAATTTAATTTTGAAGTTAGCTTGGAAAATATTCAGGTGAGTGTCAACTTCCACATCTCACCTTGGATTTGAGGAACATGATAGCTTTGCTATTGTTCTCCAGAAAATGTACCCTCATCTTGCCCCTATTTGGTTTAGGCAGTGATTCTCCAAAGAGCAGCTCCAGCAATCGTAAGAGGTAAATGCCATCCTTCAAGTCAGTGTAGATGTCTTCTATCACAATGTTCACCTGCAACGACAAAACACAGCAAATAGAAAGTTGGTCCCTCTGGCTCTGGAACTTGGCTGACAGATTTTCATTTTTTTAAAGCATGGTGTAAAGAACATTTAGATGCTGAAGTCACAAGATCTGCTCTGTAATATCTAGTTTCCCTTCTGCCTGTGAATTGACCTGTTACAAAGTTAATGGAAACTACACTGAGCAGGCTGGTGGAGCTGTATAGTACGATTTGGCAGTTTCTGAGCTGTTCGGTAGCTCCAGTTCTCTATGCTTGGCTACTGGATTAACAGCTCTTCTGTTAATCCAATGGCCAGTTCCATTTCCATTTTTCCCCACATAGTCTCAAGCAAGACCTGCAGGCTTTTCCTGAGTTTCACCTGAAGGCCACTTGATTTGGTTTTCTAGTGGGAGACTGTTTGGGAGCTTTTTGGGGTGGAGATGAAATATTCCCTTCTAATTCATATAATTAAAGCTAGGCCCGAAGTGGATTTGATATCTCCTTAGGCCTTCTGCTCCCCCCCTCAGCATGTTTTCTGAATTCCCACTTATATAACCCCCATCTCCTTAGGCCTTCTGCTCCCCGCCCCCCCCAGCATGTTTTCTGAATTCCCACTTATATAACCCCCTGCCTTAGCATGTACAATACATGGAGCCAAAAGGTACTTTCC